TCTCCGCTTAGAGGTTGCTTTGTGCATTTAATGCTTTCCAAGCAACGATACAGTGGCGTACGTGATCGTCTAACAACAGCCAGAGACGGAGAGAAATCCAGAAAGGAACAATACTCTGCAAAAGAAATAAATGCATTATATATCTCACAGGTCCTGCTTCACTGTAGAAAAGTATGACATGAGGTTCAACGCAGAAAAATAAAAGTAGGGGTACAAATTATACGAAGAATTAGCTAATGGCTGTACCAGGTAGATATTGGATTGAAAATTCACATATTATTTAGTATAAAAAATGACTTAAATGTACACAGATTAGAAGCACATACGCTTGTAGCATCTGCAATGCCGGAATTAATTCCATGAGATAATGTCCTTTTTAGGAAATGATAATTGCTCAGAAGGTAAGGAATTTGCTCATCATTTACGGAGTCCTAAGGTCTATGAACCTATTTAAAAGAAGCCCATATCATAATTGTTTCCAAGCCAGATTAATCTATTACACACCCACACGGATTCTTCCATTAAAGGTTTTTGGTCTAGGAAGTTTTGTATGCATTGCTCAGCTTTCCCGTGCGTGCTACATGCCATGCCTACACCATCCGTTCTCCCAAGGAAGGTTTCTGGGAATTCGAAAGGAAATTCTGTTGTCACACAGAGAGCATCGCTTGCTAATTATATGTGTGTTTTGTGTACACCATAGCTCTCATAATTATATGAGAGTTTTGTTATATTTTTGTATTTATTCCCGCGAAAATGCTCGCGTCTACAAGAGGGAATTATCGTGTTTCTTCTGTTACCATGTGCGGTCAGCAACCAGCTGCCTGAACACAGCCACGGGACTCGGTTCCATTTAATTAAAGGTCAGAATTGCTGAACGATTTTAATGTAGGCCATAGGCTCTGTTACCCTGTTTGAGAATTATTCTGGAAATCTCCTAAAAGCGTTTTTTTTAAATAATCGGTTATTGACTTCTAAACCGCGCCACAGGTTACAGAATGTCACTTGTTTATTGTTTAGGGAAAGTGTCATTGTTTATTCTGAGAACAACATGAGAAATGGGCAGAGTGCCGAGTTTCCGACTTGAGGCAGTTAGGCCTTATATTAGTACTTATGTCGAGTGGTGAATAACAGACGAGCTTAACCGTGCCGTAGCTCAGGCGGTTAGCTGCCGGCTTCTTACCGTGGAAGCCCGACTTTTGTCCCGGAAATCCACATGGGATTAATACTGAACAAATGGTACAAAGACAGGTTTTTCTCTGAGTTCTTCGGTTCGCGCCTGTCAGTATCATCCACCTCTGCGTCCTGTTTAATTTTACTGTAATACAGCAGCAAATATGATGGCCGATTGTCAGTGCCACGAAGCTAAAAGTGGTCATTTTTGAACTCCTATATTTAATTCACTACGTATGTAATGATTTAGTTTATTAAAAAGTATTTATTTCAGTCTCTCAAACAGTAGATTTATAGCGTATAAAGTGGTCTGCGTCCATTGCTGTTTTGTTTCTTTGAAGTATTTTAAAATGCATAAACCGATCACTACATAGAAAATTATTATTATTTATTATTAACTGCAAATGGGTTTTTACCCGGTGGCAGTGGTCCTACAATAAGACACAAAACAATGAGACACAACAAATGCCCTTTTAATGCCTTTTTATTGATAGCAATATATGTAAGGTTATCATAATAAAAGTCGTTACATTATACCATTATAGTTTGTTTAAAAAATTGAAGAATAAACCGTTTTAAACTCCGAAACAGACGCTTAAAAAATAATGTGTTTGGAGCAATTCTATACCAAACAGCACTGTAGCTAGTTACATTCAAAACAAGTACTCTCCTTAATTGAAATTCACAAATATTTTAATGCATGTTAAACGATCCTGGATATTTCTGGATCCTTTCCAAACAATTCTCTTGACTTGCAAGCCATCAATTACATCGTCTGCAGGGGTTCCAGGACAGAAAGAGAGCGATGGCTGGTTACTGGCAGAAGCGCAACTTCCAAAAAGCAAACACAACTCCATTAATTGAGATACGAAACTCAGCAGTGTGGTGGCTAAATTACACACATACACACACGGACGCTAGATACCTCCTACCTTTTATGCGTGTTGTAGAGAAACTGCGGTCCATAGTACAACTAGAAATAAAAAAAGAAGACAAGAGCGTTTGACTGTTATGCCTTGCCTTACCGCCCGGTCTTTTCCATCATCATAGAACCCCCAAATTATCTTCTCTCATTTTTAACCCACTCTCCTGTGTAAACTCCTCGTTCCTTATACACACATACGTTACGACTATATTTGACTGGCGATAGCTAAAACGGCATTTTATATGTAAAGCGGGGGAGATCGTTTATGTATCCTGGTATATAACATTACAAGACAACTTCTAACAGTGAAACGAAATTGTTGAAACAGCGTCCCTGTAACACAGAGCATTCTAGAGTGGGCCGTAAGTACAACATTGTTATTATCTGAAAGTACCTCGCATCTCGTTCCTATGATGTTGACTTATATACAGGCGAGTGAGGGCGGAGGTGAGGCTATAGAAAGCTCTTGAAACAGCCATTCGTACTGTGCCAGAGGATTGTAGATCGTAGAAAGAGGGGAGAGAGATTATAAATGACGTAGAAAAATGACCCGCTTATTGTCAGCTTAAGTTTTAATGTTTGTTTCCCAGAAACGTTATTTTGTGTGTGTGTGTCAAAGATTAATAACACGTGTTCTTATTTCACAAACAGAATTCTGGAAGAATACGTGTGAAGCTTATAAATGCAGAATGTCCAAAAAATTTATACGCATTATAATACAGAATATTAAACTTGTGTATACGCATTTCTGTGACGATGTATATGGCTTAATGATCATTTTTCCCTTTCAAGTGATGGGCATATAATGGTACATATATACGTATATATGAACATATATATATATATATATATATATAACACCAATATCCTACTCGCTATGGGTGTGGACAGAAGTGGCCCGGACATAAACCCCTAACGTTACAGTAAAGAAAAACTGGTTAAGAAAAAGCCTCAGTAATACAACTCATGGTTTTGATTGTTTAAGTGCGAGGTGAAATTATGGAGGATACGTGCCGTCGAGTGATCACGAACGTAGCCGTTCGTGTTTCGGAAGCTGCACGTCAGAACGGATGTCATATTGAGCATATCATCCATTAAATGTTCTTTGTGTTCATAGGTACGGATGTAGAATTATATGAATATTAAGCTTTTATTTAAACTTTCAACAATCGGGTATGATTTCGTGCGCGGCGGGGTTGTTGCGGTAAGTGGTCTGATAGTAGTTTACCAACGATTCAAGGGCGGTCGCCCTGATGATGGAGGTAGCAAGCACCTCTGAAACGTCAGCAAACGTCTATTAGACAACACAACGCAACAGCCCAGAAGATGACGATCTTCAGTCCTACTATCTTAAGTTACGTCTCTGCATAAATGTTATAGCATAGATAAAGGCCGAATCATAGTTAATGGAATTCTACTTCAAGATCGTTTTGTGATTACAGTCTTGGCATGTGTGACAACAATAAGCATTCATTTTTGTTTATTTCTTTCGCAGGAGAAAATGTGAAATTCGTGGCGACGCAGATGGCAAAGAGCCTAAAGATCTGACATCATCAAGGACCATGTTTCCCAGTGCTCAGATCAAAATGAGGTAAGATCGACCAGTCGTTGAGGTTGAAGTGTTAAAGATTGTTAACACATGCGTATACATACCTTACGCATTCTTTGCAAAAAATATAAAATTTTAATGCACATTGGGGAGAGTCATATCGTTTGGTCTCCAGATTTCAGTTCCGAAATTGGTCATTGGGTAATTGGTAGCTATTAGAGGCCTGCCGTGCAAGTTAGCGAGTGAGTAAACTTGCTTTGTTTATGCCTTGAATAATTAATTTTGCTTCATTTGAAGTTCAGATTAATATTCTTAACAAACTCGACTAATATTGCACAATGTTTGTGCATAACAAATTTCTCATTAATGTCTCTTTTATCCAAAATATGTTCAATATGGGGTACTCACTGTTTAGCGAAGTTCAGGGAAGATTAATTTATGTTTCTTTACACTTGGTATATATAGTTGGACGTACTATAGAGCTGAAGATTTTATTCTGAAATAAATTAACTACACCTCCAGTGGAGTATGCAAATTAGCAAAAATAAAGCATTGTAAAATATGGACAGTCCAGAAGCCAAAGAGTGTAAGCCATTGAAGATATTAAAAAAGATTTATTAATTTAACTGTATCAGAATATCATTAAATGTAAGCACAGGAAGTGTTTTGTGAAAAATGTTGCTGAGTAGCTTGTTTTATTGGCATAACATATTTTTAAAAATATAGCAGATATGGTACATTCCACAAACTGAAAATGTCGGTGTTCCTCATTTAATATCATGGTTTCGAAACAGTCAATGTGTGTGGGATAATTCAGATTTCAATTACGTTTCCTTGTCTGTTTGATGACTACACCGTGTTGTTGTGGCTTGTCAGCTCTTCATAGAATCTAACAACCTTCAGGACGATGGAATTGACAACAGACGAGGTTGTAATATTAACTCTGAACTAGGTACTGTGAAGATGGCTGTCGTTTGGTATATGCCCTTATAGTCCTTTGGTTGTTTACAGTTTGTCAAGCATAAAATAAGAAGATTTCAGTCTTCTGGGTTGTTGCGCTGTGTAGTCTGGTCGATGTTAACCAACGTTTCAGAGGTCATACTGCCTCCGTCATCGCCCTGATGACGGAGGCAGTATGACCTCTGAAACGTTGGTTAACATCGACCAGACTACACAGCGCAACAACCCAGAAGACGGAAATCTTCATAATCACCGCTGTGAGAACCTCAAGTCTTACATAAAATAAGAAATCTTTAAAATCCGTCTTTCAACTGCCTGTTTAATTCTTTTTATCTTTTTTATATCGCAGTTTTCCTGCAGTGTGTTTGGAAAAAAAAACAAGAATTTGTAAGCTGCTAAGCAGCGCTCGCCATTTGCCCCGACTGGTTGCTAATCTAATTCCAGGTTGCTCTCACCGAGCAGTTCGCCCGCCACATCGCCCACCATGTCCAACTCTTCGTCTCCCACGCCTCCCGCCCTCAACTACAACCACAAAATCACGGGGATCCCCTGCGTCGCTGCTGCATCTCGTTACACGGCGCCGGTCCACATCGACGTTGGGGGCACCATCTACACGTCATCGCTCGAGACGCTAACAAAGTGAGTAAATACATCAGTCTAACATTTGTAGGCTCAGTGTCGGATTGCTGATATTCTTTCCCGGAAGCAAAGTTTTCCTTAGTCATTGTCGCAGCCCGCTTTCCAGACGCCAGACTTGCAACGTTGAAGGAAGAAGACAGAATCAGCAAGTGCTTTACACATAATTTCATGCCTATTTTGCACTCGAAGTTTTGAACGTAATAGAATCAAATAGTAAATAGGTTAACTAGAATAATCCTATACCCACGAGTTAATGTTATCAATGGATCTGCTACTCAGTTCGTATCTCTCCCGTGCGTGTTATTTTCCCTGTCCATCACATTCTTTAAGTATGCATTGGGAGAAGCGCAACACTTATGAAGTGTCTCATTTTGTAATTCTCTGTGGTCCTTTGTTGCCACACCTTTCTTAGATGCAATTATCTTCAACAGCGCCTTGTTTTCAAACACCCCTGTTCTTTTAGGACGAGAGAAAAGCTTCATAGTCGTATGAAATAAGGTAAGAAGTACAGTGTTACGCGTTTTAATGTTGAGTGATATTAGGTTCGTAAACCTCACCTATTTCGAATGTACATCCATTTACTTATTTGTTGTTTCTAGACCAACACCCTTAACTGGCGTGTAAATGTGTGTCCTCTTTGTGGCATCTATGTTTTTGCCGTCATCAGCGCCCAATACGAGCGTCTTAAACTCCAACCAGTGTTTGCATAAAGGCAGTGAAGTAGGAGATAGCAGCTGGGCTGAGAACGTTTATTGCTAGAAATATTATAACCGTTGTGGCTTCGTAACTAAATTATTCCAGAATTGTTTCTAGTCGCAAGTATTTCAGTATGGCTAGTATATCACTTTGGATCTATGAAACCCTTTGCGCTGGTTGGAGGGCGTAGACCCTCCTTATGAAGATGACGTGTATAACAAAACTTCGAAATAAATTAGTTTAGCTATGTTCCGCGCTTTATTCCATATTTCTCAACATCATGAATATTGTAATATCTGAATAGGTTCCTGCTTTGAAATACATGGATTATATTATAAATGGCCTACGTCATGACTAGAACTAATAGTTCCTTTGAGCAAGGTCCTTCTTGAGATACTAGCATCTATCTAGTCTAGAAATTAACCGCCTTTTATAGAACCTGAAATTGTAATATCATATTCACAAAATCCAGATATTGGAGCCAGCACTTAGCTGGTTGAATCTAATCAGCACACCCAAAGTATCCTCCCATCTACTCTTGATTCTCTGAAATATTCTCTTTCCTTTGAGTTTTCCGACTACGTTTTTGCGTGTATTTTCCATCTCTTCTACATGCCCTGCGCATTTAATTGTCCGAGGATTAATTTCCATAACATCTTATCGAAAGCAGACGTTATAAAGCTGCTCGCTATGCAGTTTTGTTCATTCGCCCGATAAATACAATAGGTAAAATTATGATTTTCTTCATCTATAGACTTTTGGAAAATAAAGACGCGAAGATGTAAATAAAAACGAATAAAGATGTCTAAAACTAAGATGGCTGTCTTCCGGGTTGTAGCGCCGTGAGGACCTCAAATCCTACGACTTCTAAAGATTTTATAAGTTTAAAGTTACACATGAAAGTTCAGACAGCAAATTTTGAACACAACATTTTGAAATGGAACAGGTTAAGAAAATTATTAAATTAATTACACATACAAATTACGAACATATTTGGTTCTGAATGCACCCGTCACCTGTTGGTTGGCTGGTTGGCCCTGTTGATGAAGAGACAAGTTTGTTCACTGACGCTCCTATCATTCAGAGTTACCCGCCTTCCCGTTCCATTTCCCTCAAAACTGCCCCTCAAGTAACATGTAATTAAAGTTTCAGTATCCTATTTGTTCAATGTTTCATGGAAAATGACACCATATTTGAAAGCCAGTACTTCAGTTCCTCATAATGTCGCCACAATATTAATAAGTCACTCTTTACGTAACAATGTGATTGATAGACGACTTCATCAAACCATGTGTTTGAGGAAGCGATGAAATGTAAGCCACGCACCCACAATAACATGAAGTTCTGAAGCGAAAATTAAAGAAACCTTGGCTCGTGTTTCCCAGGCCAGACAGACACATAGTTATATAGTTGGTGTTCCGTGGGTATCCCCCCCAGACATCACGGTGGTGAGATGGGAACCCACCCACACGACAGGCATACGACAGGGGTGCCCAGCATTCGTCAAAGCGTTGTATATATTCTTCGTATCTCAGATCCGACTTTTAGCCCAAAGACCAGCCAGCCTACGTCACTAGGATGTGAGGTTCTCATGGCGGTAAGTGTGAAGATGTCTGTCTTCTGACTTGTAGCGCCGCGTAATCTGGTTGAAGTTTACCAACGCTTCAGAGGTCCTTTGTTTCTCATCACCCTGATGATGAAGACAGCAAGGAACTCTGAAATATTGGTAAACTTGTACCAGACTACACGCCGCTACAAGCCAGAAGACAACCATATTCCAGATTCATTCAGTTCACACCCTCCCGCCATATTGCTTTAAAATTCATTTACTCCTAGGTTTCTAAGGTTTTCCTATTAACATTTTTGTATGTGCAAATTTCTACACAGCCGCATAAATACTGCTCGCGTTGTTCGTCTCATCCTTGATCAAATAATTTTGATAATATTTTGTAGAGAGAACGGCTTTGAAAATCCTTGTTAAAGTTTTCCCCATACACGAGAAACGGTAATATAATTGGAAATATAGTCATCAGCGTAAAGGTTTGATGGTTTTGTTGACTTCACTAAATTTCACAAATACTGGGAAGTGCCTTAAAGTATACCACGACCCCGTCTTCGCATGATCTTCCCAGATTCATTCTTCCACTCCAGCTGATAAAGCGTCACGAAACAATATCAGTAAAATAAATTTTAGTATCGAAGGCTAATGCAACTTCAGTTATTTGGGTAAATTGTTTTATTGAGTTTGGACACCCCTGGTAGTGTGTGCTGACCCCTGTTATAAGGCTGCATATCATACCCTAGCGGTAGAAACGAAGGAAGGAATTCCAATCGTATGGTTTGCGCCAGGATTTAAGGCTGTTGCTACGAAGCATAAAAGTGTGAGGGCATTATAAATGGGCCCACCCCCACAGAAGAGAGAGTTCCCACAGCAACACTAGGCACAGTGGGTGCAGGAAGAGACACGACGTGCCGCTTCATCTGTGATGTTCTCCGCATGGAATGCGTAATGAGAAGGGGATGTCCTCTCTGTCCACAGGCTTCATCTTATCATATTTCGATAAAACAACATTTTTGTCCGGGAACCTAAACCGAAAGAGACCATTTGAAAGACCTAAGCATAGATATGAGGGTTAATAATAGGATGGATCAAAACGATATACGTATAAAATAGTGTGTTGACTATTTATCCGGCCCAGGATAGGGTCAGTGGTTGGTTCTTGTGGTTCCATAAATGGCTCCTTAATTGGTGAGAAACGGATAAGGCAATGTGAGTTCTTGCGTTATAGGCATATTTCAGAACACGGGGACTGAATGGGCACTGCGTCCAGCTAAAGCACTGGTTTGACTCGAGTTACACGTTGTATTTTAAGATTATTCACAACAAGCGTACTTTTATGACATTTGCCTATTTGCAAGGCGACTATGCCAGCATTATGTACAGGCTTAATATGTTAACAGTTTCTTAAGTTAACAGCACTTACTGACGACAGTTTAGCAGGAGACACTGGTCCAGCTTACGGTGTAAGACACGTACAGATGTTTTCCTTTCAAGGAGAATGAACTTGGTGGCATTTAGCACGCATTGAGAAATGAGAACAGTATATACAATTTTGGTCGAAGACCTGAAGGCTGTTCCTGATAACTAGACAGAAACCTTATTCGGTTGGAGAATTTAGGACGTGGATCGAATTTGTCTGATTACGAACAGGGCAAGTGGCGGGCTGTTGAAAACGCGATACTAAACGAAAATTACTGCCCGCGATGTTGCGCCATATAGTCTGATAGACGTTTACCGAAGTTTCAGAGGTGTTTTCTGCCTCCACCATCAGAGCACTGAGTACACATTTTCATACTAACAGCCATGAGAATCTGAAATCTCACGATAATAAACCTTTTGGGTCCAAAAAAACCAGGGAATATCTTGATGAACAGAGCGACTCTTAGTTTCTCAAGAAAGTCTCTGCATATGACTGATATTCGTAACAAAACTGATATAAAAGTCACTTGAAGTGTTTTGAGATTTTGTTGTATGTAAACTCACGAGCTCAGGTTATCCTTGCTTGCTCTGTGCTGTTTATTTTCGTGTCAAATAATATAAAGTTTAGTGGCTCGTCCCCCTTCCCTCTTGTGACCTGAGCAAACATTTTATCCCTGGACCATTTTACCGTTGTACATCCACTGTAGCGCGTGTTCATTCTTATAAATTAGTTGTTCTAAACTTGAACAATACAACACTAGCACAAGCTTTTTGATTCCGTAAAGCACGGAACTATCCATGTACAGCACGTGAATTATGTTAAAACAACACGCTTTACAGAATGTACTCCAGGCACACACAGCAACAATCAGAACACAACAAACAGGGCGACACACCTAAGGCTCACACGAGCCCCTGGCGAGGTGCCTTGTAGCTAGGCAACCGACATTGCACTACACACACACACACACACACACACACACACACACACACACACACACACACACACACACACACACACACACACACACACACACACACACACACACACACAACGCTTCCTGAGGGTGAATTTGTTTATTTATGCTACGACGCCGCGCGTCCTACAAAACATAGTTTGTTCAGCGGAAAAGTGACATATGTCCTGTACAGTTTTGTGTCGTTTCATGTGTTCAACTATGACTGTGTTTAAAGAAACGTTTATGCTGTCGGTAGTTACGGTTTGGAATTCTGAGGCAAATTACGTTGTTGGTACGAGCATCGTATCACTGGCTTGCAAATAAAGAGACGGGATAATGGTAATTATGTTATTTTGAGGA